GGGCAAGACCAGGCGCCCCTAACGCCGGTTGCTCTCCACAGGGCTCCTGTCGCCTCCCGGCGCCTTCGCCAGCTTCCCGGTGAGTGCCGCCTGCCCCCTCGTCTCCGGGAAGGACGGTCCCACCCGCCCTCCGTGTCGCCAGCCGGGCCTCCCGGCGCAGGGCGGCCCCTTCCCCCGGGCTCCGGGACTGACGCCGGGCAGGAGCGCCTGGCCCTGGCTGGGGGGCTGAGTAGGGGAGGGTCTCCCCACGGCTGAGGGACCGCGGGAGCCTGGTACCCTCCCTCTAGGGGCTGCAGCACACATGCCCTGGTGGTCCCCGGCTCTGACCAGCCCGATCTGCAGTTGCCCTTCACGGGGACGCGCTGCAAGGAGCTGCGTTTTGTAGCACGCCTGTGTCCTGACACTGCAGCTCAGGCCGTGCCGGGCAGTAGAAGCCAAGCCTGAGGCAATAAATCCCCGTACAAGGAGGAAAGATAATGTGGCCCCAGATACTGCTATGCCAGCTCCCGTTGAGCGCTCTTTTCTGTGCATGAGCGTGCCAGTATTCTTCAGGAGCTGATCAGAGACCCACTTCAAACGGTGCATCTTACATGTGTTACGTACCTGTCTTCCCTAGCCTGCCTGCTACAAGTACGGTGTGCCTGGATGTCCAAGGGACTACAACCCAGTTTGTGGGACTGATGGAGAGACCTACTCAAACGAGTGTGTGCTCTGCCTTTCAAACAGGTAGTCACTTCATTGATATCCTAACCTCCCCTTCCCAGTACACAAGTGAAATACTCACCCTGACATCCCACCTAACTGATAGATTATTGGCTTTGGATCATTCAGGCTCTGTTAAATTGCAGTTTTATCAGTGTCCTCTCAACTGTCAAACCCTTGCAAAACAGATTTTATCGGGATACCTGTAAATGGCTTAGACTGGATTCAGTTAGCTGGAAGTACAGAATATTCACTTTTGTAATTCTTAAGGAGGAGCATCTCACAGGACATGTATGTCATGTTCATACAGTGCCATGCTACCATTAAATGTAACGCCGGACTCTTCCACACTCTCCATCAGAAAACATGAAAGATGCCCAACGAGATGCAGCTTTTACTACAAAATGTTTACATCAACACTCAATCTCCTGTACTTCCTTTCACAGAGAACAGTAAGAATGCCAAATGTTAGGAAAAAATACTATTTTACCGTTCAGATTGTCTAAAAATCAGGAAAATGGTCACCTGATGTTTGAGAGTGTATTTTATTCTTAAATAATTTAATAATTTTTTTAAGCAAATTGAAAACATGGAAAATCAGTACTTAGTGAGCATTTTTACTCCTCATGATGACTGACTGGAAACCTCTATAGAGCATTGTCTCAGTACAAACTGAGAGGAACTGCTTGCGAATTGAATTTGATGGTGAAAGGCTATTTATATTAATGAAATAACAGAATTTCCGTTTCCAGCAGAGGGAAGAACTGAGAGTAGCAGACAGCCGTGATTGACATTTATAAAATTACAAACAGGTAGATCTCAAAAAAAGGGAAGGCTGAAATATGTTTCTGACTTTGGGGCAGGGCAAAGATTAATTGTGACCAGATAATTTACAAAATTCAAATGACCAAGATAGAGGGAACATGTGCCAGAATAAGGAAAGTGTCAAAGACATCAAAGGACACTTAAGGAAATAATATTTTAAAGAAAGTGCTGAAGTGTGTCAAAGTATGTTTAAAGGTATGCAGATCTGCAGAAGCTGGTAACATTTTCACCAGAGTACATCACAAACTACCCAAGCAAATGACAAATTGCAAGGAGGAGCAGGAAACCTACAGTCTGGGAAAGAAATAAACAAAAACCAAGGAAGCAAAGGGCACACACAATACAATTTGTGAAAAAGGGAGAAAAGAGGTGCTTACATGTCATTAGTATGAGATGTAATGTACATTTTTTGTGTGAAACACGGGATTTAATCCAGTTACACAAGATAGATTTTTATCTTAACCATCTCTTTTTTTGCTGGCATCTTACATGCTTATAAACATGTGGTTTAGTCTGAAGGGACACAGGGTGATCAGATACTATCCTGATTTTTTTCTTTAATAATTCAGTAGTTTGCATACTTAGTGGCTTTCTAGTTCAGTCTGGAGCTGTTGTTCTGAAGTGTTTGACTTGGCATGAACACAAGGAAAAACCACTTTGTCTTATTGGAAGAATTTCAGCTTTGAAAAATGGTTCATAGTCATAAGCAATGGTCATTTCAAGGAGTCTAAGGTACAGTCCGTCCCGCTCCTTAGAAGGAGAGAACAAAGAGATCTTCCTGCCCTCCTTAACAAGCTACATGACCAGTAGTTGCTGAGATAAATAGTGTAATGTGGTGACATAGAAACAGATATGTGGGCATATCCATAATGAATTTTAAAAGTCACTTGTAAATTAACTTAGGTGATTCTCAACAGCAAATTTGAGGTCACTTCCAGCCCATGTTTAAGCCCATTAAAGGACTTTTTAAAGGGAGTTGTGCTTCCCTGATGGCCAAGGCAGTACCGTCCATGGGCTCTTTTGGCCATGGAAGACGCTGGGCACCTGGAGGGCCCCATGTGCACCAAGAGTACTGCAGGAGAGGTTGCTGTGGCTGATCCACAACAGCATGAGACACCTGGAGCAAAGGTGCAGCACAGACCCTGCCCATCCTGGTTCTGCAGTGCAGCCTATTCACTGTTAAGACCAAAGCTCTTCTTTCCTCCTTGCCTTTTTTTTTTTTTTTCTTTTAAAGCTTGGATGCAAACCATTCTTATGTGGGTGCTCAAACGCAAATCCCAGGTCTCTTCCACACTTAGTGTCCAGTAGCAGTGACAACCGCTGACCTTAATTTAAACCTAGACTGGCAGCACCACAAGCACCTCTTTTGAAACATGTAGCAGCTTGAGCTGCCTCTGCAGAGTTTAGCATAAGGGCTGTCCTTCAGCCAGAACTTTTCCTTGCATCTTTACATCTGTTTTACGTTCCCTGGGCTTGATTTTTCCTTTCATATTTCTAATCTGCTCCACTACCTTCTGATTAAAAGATCCTTGATACAACTATTAGTACAGATTGTCCCTGCTTTTGGGTAATCATCAGCCTCTTGAATTTCATGAGGAGGAAACTAGCTTGATTCTACTAAGATAGGGAAGCAAACTGAAGATCTAAGGCCGTTTGGATTCCATCACTTTCTTTTTGTATCTGTATGTGCTTGATAAACGGAGATTTATAAATGAAACACCGCAAAGTACCGTGTGTGGGACTTCCAAAAAAAATTTTAATGTTCCCAAACTAAGGGACACTTGGCTAAAATTTCCTTAAAGAAGATTCCAATGTTGAGAGAAGCACACATTAAAATTTTAGTAAAGCCTGAGATGCACAGATGCATCAGGATGCACACCCTTCGCACTGAATTCCCACATGAAAGCGGGAAATTTTGTAAGCATTGGAAATTGTTCCCGATTCAGGGACTGTGAAGTCTGACTTGCATTAGTGCTTTGTGATGGACATATTGTCCTCATGGTGAGATTTGTCATGTGGTTTGATACTTCTCAGATTTGCAAATGGCTTTATCAGGCTTTTATAGATAACAAAGCCTGATGTGAGGCTCTCCCTGGTAAGTTACTCACTCTGTGTGTGTGATTCATTAATCTTTGCATCACAGTTACTTTGCCATAATATTTGCTGCAAGTGATGCAATTAAATGCATCGCTGCATTTAATTGAACACATAAAAAGACATGGGAGAGTCTGTTAAATTCAAGTGTAGTGCTTTTCTTCTAACATATTTTTCTTCTGCTTGCAGTGAAAATAAAAAGGATGTCCAAATTTTCAAGATAGGAAGCTGCTAATATGGCAAACAGCCACTTTTCAAGAAAATGAGAGGGACACAGACATTCCAAATGGAAACAATGCCTTACATGTACCTTCTACATAGCCTGTCTTAATAAATAAGTTTGCTGTTTGAACAAAGTACTGTTGCTGTATTAAAAATAGTGTTTATAAACATAGCTATAGTACACTTATAACCTAAACCCTGATTTATTTTCTCATGCAAGACAGAGACAGATCATAGGATAAGAAAGAGATGTCTTGACTGTATACCAGTAGGGCAGTTGTTTGGACAAGGAAGTGAACGGGTATCCAGTGCCATTCCCACAGCAGCACCTGAGAGCAAGAAAACCCCAGCTTCTCTGCTATGGGCAGTGCTGCCAGCAGTGGCTGCTCATTGTTTCTGGGAAGACCTGAGTCCACAAGTGCCACAACCCCTGGGAAGCCATTGGAGGGGTTTCCTGTGGTGGCTACCAAACTGGTGACAGCAGCCTGACATATACGGAGCCTCTGCCCTGAGCTCCAAACCTGCAGGTCCTGCCGGTGGAGGGCAGTGACCTAGGCACCCTCTGCTCCTGCCTCAAGTAAGGGCTGTTTGAGACCGCAGGAAGTGCAGCCAGGGCGCATGTGCTGCTCCCCTGGCTCCCAGGTCTCTGGGCTCTGCTCTCTGGGGTGCAGCCTTGGCAGCCGTCCCCCCTCATTCCTAGGGCACCTGTGTCACTGTCCTGGGCTGGCACCCAACAGCTACTTCCTGTGGCAAACATCAAAACAAAATTGGAAAACTCATGTAAAAGGGTGCACTCTGGAGTGGGTCTAGAGCACCTTCCCGCAGGGAGTGTGTGTGAGCTACTGGGCTTCTCTCCTTTCCTTCAACCCTTTGTTGTGCACATGGGCACATAACCTTTCTTACATTTGTTCCCTTCCATTCTGCTAAACACCTCTGTTTTCTGCGTGTTGCTTGAAATTAATTGTATTTGGTTTTTCTTATGGTGTGTTGGTATTACAGAGATGTCTTCTACCTTTGATCCAAGCCAAGTGGAGCTGCCTCTAGCCCTGGCCCCAGACAATGGCTTTGTCAGGCTTTGCTGGGCAGTGGCAGTGCAGGCAGAGGTGTACAGCACACTTTATGCCTGATGAACATTCACAGGTCAGTGGCTTTGGTTTTGAAAAACAATAATGATTTTTCTTATAGCCTTTAAAGGGTCAAAGCTATCCTTATCTTCTAGCACATGCCTGCTTTCCTTTCCTTCATGAAAAGACTGATCATTGAAGAGCGATGTCATGTGTGGCACAGCTGGAGGGCTGGAAGCTTAGGATAAAGTGGTCACATGAAGACATGAATATGTGGATGGAAAAGAAAGGTGACCAGTGCCTCCCAACAAGGTATCAGTTGTGAAGGGAAAATAATTTTCTCTATTGGTGGCAAATCCATTTGAGAAAGTTGCTGTATGCACCCAGCTGTCGTCCCACATCTAGATCTGCAAATGTCAACTTTTTCCAATTGTACAAATGCCAAAGCAGTTGTGTGCTCTGCTATGAATTAACAAGTGGATGGAAATTACATTTCTTTCTGTATTTCTATTTTGATAACTAATTGTGCTTACAAGGGCGCTTTAACAATTCCAGTCTTGTTATTTGTAGAAAGGTTCCTTCAGTATTTGATGAAAGTGTGCATAGCATTGCATTTTTTGGCAAAACTCAGAAAAAATATCTGGTTTTGTAAACACCACTAAATGAAACAAATCCGAATAAAAAGTAACATGTAGGCTGACAATCATCATCAATCACACTAGAGCACTGCTCCCAGTGTATGAATGCTTAAGATATAATCTTAGAGCTGACTTTAAATCTTCCTATTTTTCTGCCTATTTGAAAAGTAGTATTTGCAGCATTGCGTGTAATTACTCACCAAATCTGCCCTGACATCTGTACTTCATTTTCTGTACATTAAAAAGTTCAGGTAAATTTTGACAGCAAGATTCGTGAAGAAGTGCAGATGTGTGTCACAGATCCTACTTCTTTCTAGTCTTACCCAAGATGAGAGACCTCTCATTCAGCAGAGATCTACATAGAAGGTGGATGGAATGGTTCCTCTGCTTGGGAATGTCTAGAACAGGTTAGAGTTTTTGGAGGTGAATGCCAATTCACACTAACATCTGCACTACTGTCTATGAAGACTAAGGGAGAAGGATTCCTATGTAGGAGCAGAAGTTTCCTTATCATGGTCTGAAATAATCTTGATAAGCATTTGATACATTTTTAAGTAATCTTTCAACATTTCTTATAGTGTATTTTATTATGAAGTTGTATTCTTGCTTTATGTAGTTCCATCTTCTTGATGTTCTGTCCTGGTTTGGGCTAAATCAGAACTAACTCTGTTTTAGAGCTTTAACTTTTCAGTTAAGTCTCCTCTAACGGCACTTTCTGAAACAGCAGCATGTTTTTCCAGACAGTGACTGCTTCCAGCAGTGACAAGTCTTGATGTTTATAGTTCGTACCAAGGAATGGGATGCAGAGAGGCCCTTGCTTATACTTGTTCTTACAGCGACCAAGGTCACTGCTAGATCTTGTGCTCCGTGTTGGGGTGCCGGGAGTGAAAAGGGTCGCACCTACAGGGAGGAGCGAACTGGACAGGTGACCCAAACCTGACCAACAGGGTATTCCGTCCCATATACGTCATATTCAGTATAAAGCTGAGAGATCACCAGGGTCTCGCTCTCTTTCTCTCTTCTTCGATGGCCGACAACTGAGGAGGACTCTGTCCTTCCATCGTCGATCCCGATCTGTGCATCCCTGAATCCAGTGCCCAAGTCCAGCTCCTGCATCCTGTCCCTGTCTGCTGCCAGTCCAGCCTGGGACTACCCCAAGCCCTGCGGTGTGGTGGTGACGTATTGTCATCAGGGTGGGGGGAGTTGGGTTCGGTACTGGTTTGGTCTATATTTGTACATATTGTATATATTTCATTATTCCCTTATTCTTATTATTATCTTTTCTTTTATTGTTACTGTTTCGTTAAAGCTGTTTTAGTTTTCTTTTCCAAACCGTAAAGTCTCTCACCCTTGTTCTCTCTCCTTTTCCCTTTTTGGGAGGGGAGAGGGGTTAGTAGAGAGTGTCTGTCATTTGTTAGCGGCAGGCCCAGCCTCAAACCGTGACATGTGCTTTACAAGGATTAAAACTAAAATGTAGAAAAATAAAAGACTCCCAGTGCTGTCAACTGGATCCTTCTAGAGCTGAATGTAAAACATCACTTATATGCCTTCCCAAGCTTAAAAAAAAAAACCAAAAAACAAACCCCAAACCAGTATTGTAGCCAGGTTTGGCATTTATGAACCTTTATTGATCAAAAAGTTGATGTCTTGGAATTACAGTATGGTGGACTTAATTTTTGTTTTAAATCAGGATTTTGTGGTGCATGTGGAACAATGGTAGAAAGACTTAATCATACCATACCTTAATCCTCACTCAAAAAACATCCTTTCTCAAACTCACAAAGAAAACCAGTAACATAATCCAGTGGGGATTTATGAAGACTTATAGCTCAAAAAGATGGTGCATTTCAGTATGATGGGCTTAATTTTTAAGTTAAAATTGTACCTTACATTTAGAACAATGCTAGTCTTATTCATATGAAGAGTAGGACTCACACTTCTAGAGCAGGACTTTGAAGCTTCTTGTGAAGCCTTGGGACAAGGCTTACTTGTATGAAGAGTCCTCACTTTTATGATTTGATCCGTTTGCCTTCAGTGGTGCTGTTAGAGGTCCATTTTACATACAGGTGAGGTAGGAAGTCATCTAGATGACAGAGTGCTAGAGCAGCAAAATTAAGTGGCAAAGAGGGAAAGACAGCCTGTGGCTCTTACATCAGTGGCTACAGTGGGTCAACACTGATGACTTCCACATGTTCTGGTTGACCAAAATTTGTACAACAGTCTAGTTGTTCCAAAAATTGTCACACATTCCTCTTTGGCCACAGGAATGATTTCACTTCTGGCAACTCTAGCCTCTGCTGCTCAGGGAAGTCACTCAGCAAGGAGGCTTTTGCAGCCGGACTATGCTCCCATCCTTCCTATTTACGGAGTCATTGGATTCTGGAGGTCTGTTACTTGGAGGGGAAGGTGATCAGGCAGGCTCAGAGCATAATGAAGTACCCAGGTGTTGAGGCCATAGCCACATTGCACTGAGTCTAGCAACCCTCTCAGTTTTGGTACCCAGAGCTCCTTGGAGCAGGTGGCATTAACTTTTCCACTAAATCAAGGCAGAAGTATTTCTTTTCTCTTGAGATTATTTTTCTTTTAAACTTTTTACATTGCTCTTCTTATTGTAATAAATAAACAGAATCATTGAAAGCAGGAGTTGCCCAGGATATCCTTATTTTTGTAAACTTCTTTTAATTTGACTCTTATTTTCATGTATCTTACTGTTATTCACCCTCCAGGCAAACTGGTTTTTGGATGGAACAGCTCTGAAAGTTTGTTGCAACTGCTGTAGCTGTATTGCCCAACTTTCCTTTTGCTCTCTCTTGTTGCGTTTTAAATTGTGCTCTATACTTCTTGCTGTTCTTTGAACTGTTTAAACATGCATTTCCATGTGGATCAAAGAAGTGTATTTCTCTTCAACAGAGAGACTGGTTTATAGCATTGAGTCGTGCCATGACTGGCTCTGACAGGAAATTATAAAATCCCAGCCTTCTTGAAAGTAAAAATTGACTAGTACAGGACTACTAACTGGTATTTGGTGACCACCATATTTGATTTATCAGATGCATTAAAATCCTATGTCACTTCGATTGCTCAAAGTGTTGACTGGCATCTACTCATGGCATTTATGAACTAGCTAAAATCATTAACATAGAAGGATGTTACTGTAACCTTTGGACATCAACACACCTTATGGCAAGCATTCTTCTTAGCTTATTACATCTGCACGAGGCTAACAAGAGTTTATACTAGCTGAATGGCATAATTCTGAAACAAGGTATGAAGGGATCTCTTTTCTTTATGAGCTCAGATGGTTGGATAATATTTTGTTTGGTTAGGATTCTATGATATTTTCTAGCTTCCCAGGATCAGCAGTCTTGATCTGACTGGGAGGAGAATGTGCAGCCATTCGTCTAGGTTAAACGAAGGTCAGAAGTCTCACTGGCATTTGTTAATGAAGAGTAGATATGGTTTTGTTCCTTGTTGAGCTTCAAGAAGAGCTTTTTTAATCAATTAAATTTCCTACTCTCTCTCCTGTGGAAATATTAAAAAAAAAATTGTCCGGGAAACATACATAAACAAAACATTCCCTAGAGTCCATGTGCTGATGCCCAGCAGACACTGCATGTGTGTTTTCTGGGACAGCTGGGATCCAGCTCCCAGCTTAGCTGTGGGTCGTTGGAACTGCTCATCCCCTTTGCTTCAGGCACTCTTTTGAGGGTTTGCAAGTTTTTTCAACCAGAGGTAGTAACACACTTCAGTTTGAACACGGAGGAAAGCATCTCTGCTTGAATTGCTGGCAGAGTCTTTCAGGACTGGGGATTCTGAAGTTCTCTTGGTTGTGATAGAAACATATCAAACCCACCATGCTTCCACTGAAACGTTTAAGGCTCAAAAAATATTGCTAGCTGTTGAAAGCCCTTGTCTATTGCAGAAGATCTATTCAAAGGTGCTGGCCATTAACAGTCACCCAAGAGGGACTGCTCTCTTCCACTTAGGTACCAGCACAGTGCTAGCCTGTACTCATATATAGCTGCTGCATTTGTGCTAGGTGGCACAGAAACATGAGCAAGAGCAGAAGGGAGAGGTCTAACTGGGGGAGCCATGGTCTGAATCCTGTGGGAAACTAGCCAGAAAGAAGGGCTTGGACTTGTGGATTTCCATCCTGCTCACTAGGCGGCAGTGTTCATTTTCTTTTAAATCTTACTTTATTTTGTGTTCTCAGTAGGGGTGTAGGAAAGACTTTTTATTAATAATTATCGTTTGTATGCATAAACATTCTCTTAGGCGCTTGTCTGAGCTGACACAGGCGGGACGCAGGAACAACCACAAAACCTCAGATGAAATGCAAAGAGCAAATTTATTCTCATTACCTCACGAAAGGGGGGATCTCCACAGCAGCACCCAGGCAGAGGCACACAAGCGGGGATGCAGGCACCACGGAGCTCGGTCCTTGCTAGAGAGCGAAAAAGCTTTCAAACCTGCTACTTTTGTCTGTGTATTGGGGATTTTTGCAGGCATAATTTTCCACTGTGCTTTGATCTTTCCCACAGAGGGGCAGGAATCTCAAGCATGTTCAATAAGATGCTTCTGAGTTTATCACAGGCCTATGTTATCTAGACACAGATATTCTACTTGTCAAACACACAGAACTAAACAACAATTAGTATAATATAGGTTGTTTTTGACACCCTAGCTGCAAGTCACTTGAGCATGTTTACAATCATCCTCACCAATCTTCCGTTATTTTCCCATAGAGCTGTTTCTTTTAATTTTTATTATTAGTGTCTTGATACACAGTCAATTCCATTTAGCTGGCAAAGTTAACTTGCCTTTTTCCTGATCATTGAATACAAGTATGTTTGCTGCAAGAGACCCTACAGTACACCATTTTGTAAAAATTTTATTCCGTGGGCAGATCCCTCATAAACGGACCTGTGGCATTCAATGCCACGTGTAGGATCGCACTGGGTTCTGCCTTAGCTTTACAATTTTCTAGCTGGTCATGTAGCAGTTGCTTCATTTTCTAAAGCCTAAATGTTTATAGAAGAAGTATAGGTTTCTGGACAGAGCATCCTTAACTAGACAACCTCAGAAAAAAAAGTAATTTTCCTCTGCAACAGAGTCTCATCTTTACGTTGAGGAAAATTTAACCCTTTTGAAGTGCTTTTTTTGTCAACTGGTGAGAAATTATGTAAGATTTTGGTACACTTGTTTTATTTTACCTTTTAAGCAGATCTGAATTCTTCTTGCTGACATTAGATACAAAAGTGTTTAGAGCTCTAACTTAAGCTAGTCTATTCCAGCTTCCCCAGTGATAGAGGCAAAGGGGTTGAAAAATCCTGCCATGGGCTCTCTGGAGCAGAGAATACGGCTGGGAATGAGATGTTGAACTTGTCTAGTAATAGTCCAATGTGACTGCAGGTTCTGTGGGAAGCCTCAAACTGCTGCCCTGGAAGGGCCTGGGTTTCCTCAAAGTCCCTTTTCTTATCTGCCAGTCCCCTTCAAATATTTTGGATACTCAGCAAGCTGCAGATGTCTATAAATGGACACCTGAGGTGAGCCCTCTCTCTTCATCTCTGATTGAAGAGCACCTGTAAAAGTGAGGTGTTGGTCCTTTAGGCAGCTTTGGGGCTGCTCTGCAATATCTATCTGCATGCATACTCTTACCTTCCAATAGTCATTGGGAAATGCAAAGTAGCTTCTTTCTCTCTATGAGGTTATAAAAATCAGCTTTGCATTTACATGGGATTCTGAGCTTTTCTGGGGATATTTTTTTAAGGAGAAGGTAGTGTTCTGTAAATATATGGATATGCTTGCCCCAAAATATTCCTGTCTTCCTTAAGCTTATGGTAGGTGACACAAATACAGCTAGAATGCACAAAGCAGTTGTGAAATGATTATGAACGGGAAGTCAAAGCAATGAAAAGTTTATCTAATAAGAGCCATAGAATCATTTAGGTGGGAAAAGATCTTTAAGATCGTCAAGTCCAATTGGAACAGTGCCAAGTCCACCCCTAAACCATGTCCCTCAGCACCACATTTGCATGTCTTAAATACCTCCAGGGACGGTGACTCCACACTTCTCTGGGCAGGCTGTTCCAATGCTTGACAACCCTTTCCGTGAAGAAATTTTTCCCAATATCCAATCTAAACCTCTCCTGGCACATCTTGAGGCTGTTTCCTCTCATCCTATTGCTTGTTATTTGGGAGAAGAGACCGACACCCACCTCACTACAACCTCCTTTCAGGTAGTTGTAGAGAGCGATAAGGTTTCCCCTCAGCCTCCTTTTCTCCAGGCTAAACAGCCCCAGTTCCCTTGGCTGTCCCTTCGCAGGACCCCTCTAGACCCTTTGCTCTGTCTGCCTGTGACTGTAGGCAGACCACCCAAAGTGTGCACGTGTGAGAGAAAGTGATGTGGGCCGTGGATGGTTTACTCCTGCTCTGCCACCTTGTGAGGTGGATCGGCTCCCTTGATGCTGCCTTTGTGCTCGTAGACATGACAGCGCTCTTGGTGCCTCCATGACACTGGTGTGGGGGTGACAGTGTCTATCCCTGTGGCGGGATGGCAGCTCTCCACGGCAGGGTCTCTGCCTTTACTGTGCTGGTGAGACTCTGTTTCCAAATGGTGATGGGGGGCTGCAGAAGAGAAGGTGCCTGGTGCTGCAGGACGCTGCTGCCTCCTGCCCCTGCCCTAGCTGTGCCTCCAGCTCCCAAGCACTGCTTTGGCTCGTGCCCAAGCCTCCTGCCGGTGCAGCAAGCAGAGCATCCAGAGCCATGCTCTGCACTCCTGGTGCTTGTTCCCCATGCAGAGGGCTCAGCACTTGAAGACCATCATGTCCACCTCCCCAGGGGTCACCACGGGGCAATGCTGTCAGGCACCCCGGGGTTGGTTTGCCCCAAGTCCACCGAGGGCAGCCCACCTGCTCAAGCACCGCCACCTCGAGCAGGTTGCCCAGGACCTTGTGCAGACCACTTTGGTGGCTGGAGACTCCACAACCTCCCTGGGCAGTCTGTGTGAGTGTTAGAGCACCCTCAGAGCCAGGACTGGTGCTTTCTTGGGTTCAGACGGAATTCCATGTTTTCTCGTTTGTGCTCATTGGTTCTTGTCCTGTCAGTGGTCACTGCTGAGAAGGGTCTGGCTCACTTGCCCTCCTTCCCTCCCGTCAGGTATACATGCACAGAGGCGTCTTCCCCGTAACATGGAAGCAGAGCAGAAAGCTGGACAAGAAAGGAAATAGGGGTCAGGGGAAGCATTGTGGTTTGGTACTACTTACCTCCCCCCAAAGTGCTGCCCCACTGCTTCTGCGTCTGAGCAGGCGGCAACCTGCCACCTGCCCACATTCCCCAACAAAGTGTTGCACAGACACTCACCAACAGAGGGTTGGTTAAAAAAAGCCAATTTATTGTCAGCTTTGCATTGCGTAATGGTCCCAGCGGGGATCAGCTCTTTCCAGGTGGTCCCATCCTGTTACAGGTGGTAACAGGAGTCTCCGTTGCAATAGCACTTTCAGCTAAACCGGGGGAGGTTCCCCAAACTCTGCTTACGCTCAGCTCCTCTTGTGCGGTGTCGTCTCCATGCCTAGTTTGCTCAGATCTGCAGCACAGGCTCCCCAGGCAGTCTCTGGGATGAGCTGGTTCTCTGGCCCACTGTCCAAAGTTGTCACCCGGGCCCCACCAGCATGCAAGTAGGTCCTCAGGGCCACAGGCATGTGACCTGACAGGATACGGGCGCAGAGCTGCAGAACTCTGAGGTGGAAATTGTCCTGCTGGGTGTGCCACGCCATGAGCCTGAAAAGCTGCATCTCAACAGCAGCGCAGATCTCTGGCCACGGTGTGCTGCTGGTGAAGCTGGCCTCTGCCTACTCAAGGTGCAGGTAGGCACCTGAGCTGCCTGGCTGCACTGCAAAAGTAATCTCAGTGCAGGTCATTATCCCGGCGGCGCTTGGCAGCTGGAACCTGCAGGACCGGGAGGAGGGCAGCACCGTTAGCTGGCAGTGGTGCGACTGAGGCAATAACAGCCAGGCTGACCTCACCAACCGCTGGGCCCAGAAGGCGATTTTCTCCACATCTAAGTAGAAGCCTGTGCAGAGGGTACATAGGACGTACGAGCTCCGATCCCTCCGCAGCTTGTCGTCACGGTGGTGGAGAAAGCAGAGCGTATTGCTCAGCAGCTGCTCCTTCAGGCACATGCATTGCAGTCCCACATAGATGCTGGAGGTCCTTGCTGGCAGCTGCCCCATGGTGTCCAGCTCCAGGCTGAATGAGTGCCCAGGGGGTGGCTGCAGGAACACAAGCAGGCGGTAGACAATGCTGTCCTTCTCGACCAGCCAGCCTTCATAGCTGCCGTTAATCCCAACAGCCCGGTGCATCTGTGGCATGGAAGTCTTCTTGCAAAGCACTCGGCAGACACCAAGGAGGTCATCTACCAGCTCCTTCAGCACCTTGCACATGTCAATTATGCCCTGCTTCGGCAATGGAGTGGATGCAGATAAAGACCTGACGACATTGTGTGCACCACTGAGGTCTTCCTCCTCCTGCTTATTCGCCTTTTCCTCCTCCTTGCTGCTGGAGCTGTCCTGCTCAGGGCAGATGTCAGGGGGGAGCTTCAACCCCCTGTCCTGCTCTCGACAGCTGTCAGGGGCGAGCTTCAACTTCCTGGCCAGCCACCAGCCGATGGGTCCTGGGACCACCACAAACAGCCACCACTGCAACCCAGAAAGGAGTGCGGCTACCTGTGCAACCCTGCTCCCCTCAATCGCCTGCAGCAGCCGAGTCATCTGCTGATTCAGATACTTCTCACGCCACTGCATCTGCTCAGCCGTAGCCACATCTATCTGGGGGTTGCACTTCACCCCATGCTGGGAGGCCAGCACAGCCAGGATGAGGGCAACTGCCAGACACATGGCCTGGAAGAGAAGGGAGAAAAGGGAGCTCAGCAGGGCTGGGCAGGAGGGAGCATGGGGCTGGGGGAGTGTGGCAGGAACCACCTGGAGCTGGGGGCTGGTAGGAAGGGGGTGAGGAAGGTAGGAGGTGGGAGTTGGGAGCAAGGGCAGGGTTTGTGCCTACTGCAAAGATGGGAGCCACAGGCTGTCCCAGGAAAGCGTTTGGGCACTTGTTTCAACAGGCTTGAAGGGGCTGCAGGCCCTGGCTAGAGGCAGCGTGGGGCCCATCCTGCCCAAGCTGCCCTGATGGCCAACCCCTGGCTGGGCTCTGCACCATGAAAGGGCAAGGGACATGCAAGTGGAGTCTCCCGAGGCTCCATCCCTGCCACACAACAGCGTTCCGTGGAGCTGCAGGCACCTGGCACATCCCCAAAGCTTCTCTGGGCACCTGGCACCACTGGGAGCTCTGAGCACCTCTGCTTCCAGCCCCGAGGGTGGTACTGTGCCCAACCCTGAGGGGCTCAGCTCTTGCTCTGGGCTGGGAACCCACTGGGCATCTGACCCATCCCCACTCCAGCCCAGCCTTCCCCCTGCACGCTGCACTCACCGATCACCCAAGCCAAACTGCAGCGGGGCTGCCTGATGACGTCTCTTGGGACAGCTCCCGCTGTGACCTGTCCTCTATGATGTCACAGACTCCAGAGCGGCATCACCCCCATGGCAAGCCCTGGCCTTCATCCCCACCGCCCGGCTCAGCATGTCCTGGGCATCACACCAAGTACCAACCCGCCCACCAGGACTGAGCTCTCAGGGGCTCTCTTGACAAAGCCGGCAGACATCCCCCAAAACTGCAGTTGAAATGAAAACGGGGA